TGTGTGTGTGTGTGTGTGTGTGTGTGTGTGTGTGTGTGTGTGTGTGTCCACTCATCTATGTCTCATCCAAATCTTAAGCATCTTATTATTCACACGTCTTCATAGTGCCTCTCTGTGTTACTGTTGTCGTCCGTCTCTGCAGAGCTCTGCTGGACAGCGAGGGCCTTATGGGAGACACGTGTCCGTCAAACCCATCAAGAGACGTTTCCATGACAGGTGATTACACAACATCTGTCCGTCAGCTCCATGTCAGTTCTGTCAGTAATACCTCCGCCTCATCATCTGTCAAAGAACGGAAATTGCTGATCTTACTTTTCGCTGTTTGTAGCTTCGCTCTTTTTGCAACTAAGAAACCAAATCTTTCTCGTTTGTGCACAGCACGTGTACGTGAGTGGTCATGTGATATGCTTTTCTAGCATTAGTTTAGCGTTAGTGAGATCGTTACTGAGATTGTTTCAGTTTAAAAACTAAAACATAGTTGTGTGGATGTAGCCTGAGAGAAATGAGTTTCTTCTCTCCTCGCTGGATTAATATTCAGCCTTTGTAAAGGTAAAATGTCACTTAGCTTAACTAAAAGCCCCTCGGAGTGTGTAATCACATCATTGTAAACGGAGAGTGCTGGGTGGCGGTGGTGGTGGGGGAGGGGGTCGGTAACGGGCCGGTGGCTGAGCTCGGCACTTTTGCTCCTGTAATGGGAGCCACCAAAGACAGTCCCCAAAGGTTATTGAGCCATATGGCTTTACTTTCCGGTAACTTAGACAGCGGTGAGAGGAAACGACAATCAATATCTCCCCATTAGTGTCCAGACCCCTCGAGAACACATGTTTTAATAATGCTTTGGGGAGGAAGCTTCTCCACAGTACCTCTGTCACGTTGAGATTACTGGGGATTATTTGACTCTCTGGCTCTGTGTGGAGACATAATGTCTTGGTTTCTGTAATCTTTCATTTACTCTGACCCCATCTATACTGATGCTCTCACCCATGCTGTAATCTCACTTGTGTTAGCTTAATAGAGATACCAAGCTTTTTCATACGGACCCTGTAGTTGCAGAGATATACTCTTTATTTTTGAGCGTGTGATTATCGAGAGGGGGCCCGAGAAAAGGATTTCAATGTAGATGAGTTCATTTTGTAATCGTGAATCTTGCTCTTGTCCTCTACAGATGCAGCGTTCTATCCTCGAGGGGTGAAAAAGAATTACAGAACGCAGCAGCCTGCTTCCTTCTCATCTCTCTATGTTCGAACAGCTCCAACTGCAACACAACTGTGCAGCAGGAAACCCACAACTTTCAATGAAACCCCAAAGATTTCAAGGAAACCCGCAGATATAGATGCAACAAAGTCAGCAACGTGGGAGACCCCTTATCCAAAAATACTGCAGGACGGGGCTGTTGAAAATTTCAGGCCACAGGAGGTTCAGGAGATAGTCACTTATGCTGAGCCTCTGTCGCCTCCTAACGAGCAGGAGGCTTGTGTTCCACTGACATCAGAAGAAGGTGGAGAGGAGGTTGAAACACTGGAGTCTGCCGTCAGTCGTCAGGTTGAGTCGAGCCTCCGCAGCGAGCCGGCCTTCAGTGATGAATTTAGTCTCCATCAGTTTACAGCACCCAACTTTACACCACACCGTGTGACAGAGAAGCCCAGCGATGTCTCCCCTGAATCTGAGGAAGAGCCTTTTGAAGGTCCTGCAGAAGAAGAAGCTGCTCCAGCTGATGCACTGGGAAGGAAAGAAGTGGAGCATGTGCAGGAGGTGACGGAAGAAGTGCTTGAACCAACCTTTGAATCCAGGACAAGAGATCCAGCATCTGAATGTGAGGCTGCAGAAAGTGTCTTTAACCAATTAACCGACGTCAGCGGACATGAAAACAGCTCAGATGACAATGCTGCCGAGATAAGACAAGACATCAGCTGTTCTGTGGTGGGAACGAAGGAGACGGATGTTGAGGATAAGTTGTTGTACCCTGACGGAGAAGAGATGGATACGTGGGACAGTGTTATCGAGAGGAAGATTGATATGAAGGCAGACGATGGCATAAAACAGGATGAAGCAATAAGACAACATGCTGAACCAGAGGACATATCAGCAGGAGAACCAGAGCAGGCCAAGAGAGGAATTATCCGGGATGTCACCACAGACGACAACATGGCTGCTCCAGGGACAGACACACAAGTAGATGATGATGGACAAGAACACGGACCAGCTCCTGACAATGAAGAAGATGATGAAGAGGAGGACTCTCAAAATGTCTCAGTGTCGTGGATTCCCGAGCTGGAGAGCGACAGCTACGCTCAGGATAACACTCTCGCTGACACTCGACCTCTGATTCGATACAAAAGCGACGAGACTGACGCCAACACTCAGGCATCACACATGGACGAGAGCGAGTCCAGTGAAGGTGAGCAGGAGAAGAGGCTCGGAGAGACGGGGATTGGAACGTGGAGCGAAGGCAAGTCGAAGAGATACGGAACTATGGAGGATTTGTGCGAGGAAGTGGAAGGGGAAGTATTGGATGAGGAGTATGACCTGGGTTATACTCATATTGAGCATCAGACATCGGAGAAAGACACAGAACGTGTAGAAGAAATGAACAAGGAAGTCAAAGAGAAACATTCAGACGAAGAGACTGAAGAATTTACGAAACCCACTGCACCCATGAGTGTCGAGTACGATGAGGAGTTAGAGACAGACAGACTTGTGGAGCAGGAGCTAGAGAGCCTGTCGACGGACAGCTTCAGTTCTTACCTTGCACAGCAGCAGGTCAGTGAGAGCGACGAGATGCTTCCAAAAGAGGCTGGAAAAACAAAAACAGATGACGCAACTCTCTGTGCAGAATCTGGAGCATTTTCAAACACATTTCTAGATCACCCAGATGAGAAGTCGCATGTCCAACGCAAAGATGAAGAGGCTGCAACTGTTCCAGAGAAAAGAGAGGATGAACACAACGTCTCTATGGTGACACATCCCGACCTCATCAACAGGCCTGACATGGAAGAAATCAGCAACTCAGAGGATTCAAACTCAGAGCTTCAGGAAAACCCTGATGTGAAACCTGCAGATCCTCAGGAACATCTGGTTGAGGATGTTGTCGACTGTCCTTATGTTCCAGAAACAGGTGAATGGGAAGTCCTGGAAAACCCAAGCGAGGACTCTGTAATCAGAGACCACGCTGATAAAAAACCGGATAATGTGCCGGACTCAGCTGAACGTCACCTCCAGGAAGACGGAGGCTCTGGCGAGGGGGTTGTGACCCGTGAAGAGGAGCACCTGGAGATCTCCCCTGACAGCCTACCTGACGAAAGCGATATCTTTGCAGTGGAGGACTCGACCCAACAATTGAACACAAGCAGAAAAGACAACAATGTCCCTGGTGTTTTCAGCTCCAGTGTGAAGACAGACTTCTGGGCGTCCTCCTCAGAGACCGGCGCCACCTATCAACCAGATGACGCCTGTATTGAACAAACCAATCAGAACCTAGAGTTTGGCGAGAACCCAGTTTGGGGCATGTCGGACAACAGGAACGTGGTAAACGGGAACTCGCTGTCAGCTGAGAAAGAGCAGGAACACAAGTCTGAGGGGAAGCAGGTGCTGAGTAGAAAAGTTGAAGCGGAGTTTGTTCATTCTGAGGAGTCGGAGGTTGAGGGCGAATCCTGGTCATCTGGGGAGGAGCAGGTTTAAGAAGTGGTGAGAAGATCGATTTCAACCAGTGTTAAGCTGAGTCTCGAACGCAGCAGGAGATTCTCTGGTCAGTCGCGTTCACGTTACAGAAATCTACGAAGCGTTGAGGTGAGGGGCGGAGATCACGTCTCTTTGTTTGCAGCACATCCACACCAGCATCAGTCCGCTGCTCGAATCTCATTCTCGTCTTTCCAAGTTGAAATCTCCTCTTTCTCATCCTTTTCTAAGAAACATCATTTACCTCGCTCACTCACTATCGCTGAATCCTCCAGATAATCTCCTGCTGTGTTCTCACATCAGCCCTCAGACATTTTCCAGACATTCTGCCGGGGGGGCTGGCGGGAGAAACTCCGGGATAATGTCCTGAAAGCAACTGACCTGGACATTTGTGTTCTCACTTACAGCCGCTCTGGAGAATGTCAGGAGGATATCTGGAGTTGAGTGCAGGTCTGAGCTTAAGTGGAAGGAAAATTATGTTTGATGCGTTTACTATACAACCAAAATCGTGCCTTGGTGCGAACCTCAGTGACGCTAACCACCGATGTGCCAACTGACTGAGCTCCTGTCTTGTTTCCCTAAACTACAAAAGTTTTTCTCGCTGATTGTTCAGATTGCTCGGGGGGGTGGAGGGAGGTTGTTTCTGCATGAGGGGACGGCATGAGGACAAAGAAGGTCGTTTAAAAGTCAAAGAGTTTATTGATCGCTGCCTAATCTGATTTTACTGACTGATGGAAATCAGTGAGACCAGGAGAGAAGGATTCTCTTCACAGTGAATGAAACTAACAGCCAGTGTCTTCTGCTGTGTCACTGGACCAGTGATCCCCTTTGCATGATGTGACGGAGACACTGGTTGGTTGTTTACGATGTGTTATTCAAGATGATTGTTTGAAGAAGAAAACCAGTTTAACTTTTTACTTCCACCCTTAAAGTTATTCTTTTTTCTTTTGCTGCGGTACATTAGAAATCCAAAAATAAACTTTAGATTATGTGAAACACACCCGAGTGTCTTTGCTTCATTTCTTCAGTAATAGTTTCCTGAGATGATGATGATGATTCTCCTGATCAATGAATCACACAGAGACATCAGCAGGTTTCTATCAGAAACTATGAAGCAGGTGAGCGGCTGTTATTTAAAAGAGGGAACAGGTGACGGAGCGATGATCGATGAGAAACCTGGAGCGAAGGTGGAGTAACACAGCTGCTCACGGCCTTCCAGCAACATCCATCCAAGATTCCTCCGGGTTTACTGTGTGTGTGTGTGTGTGTGTGTGTGGACTTGGCCACTTCCCAGCTTCACTGAACTCAAAGCGAGTCGAGCAAACAAAGCGGCACCAGGCCCCTGAACGAGCGAGCGGCCATCCCACGAGAGGGTCCAGGAAAAAGAACGAAAAGAGGGAACAATGTGTGAGGCCTCCCCCACACACACACACACACACACACACCCTCTCTCCTCCAATGCCCCCCCCTCCACCCTGTCATTCATTAGTCAGTTGACCAAACAATGATGTCTATTTTAGACGGTGCTCGTCCCCTCGCTGCCAAAATCTGCCCAAAGACGGATTCAGCGAGGAAGGAAACAGAAACGCTCTGATTCACTGTGATAAAACTTCAGCTGTCCCCGTCCTCCGCCCATCAGTAGAGCTGTCCCACGCACTGAGCTGAGCTGAGCCGAGAGAGAAGAACGTGGTCGTAGTTTCAGAAGCCGATACGTTAACACTTGTTGTGTGTTGAACTAAGAGACGTTATCACCGAAGGACTCTGGCTCCATTTGATCTAAATGATAGAAATCATGTGGAAAACAGACAAATAACATGAGAAACGATTCATTCAGATGGTTTTCATGATGATGAATGATTCTTTAACTTCAAGTCAGTTTAACACAATACATCGTGAACTGTTTGTGAACCTAATAGATTTTCAACAACACAAACTCAGCCTCTTTCCTCTTGTTGGCATAAAAACCAAACTGTTAATGTTGGATGTTAATATTTTGAGGTTAGAGCTAAACTTTGGCTTGAACTGAGTAAATGAGCTGGTGAGCGTCGAGGGAAAGTTGTTATTTTTTGAAACATACAAGTGTTAAAAGTTTCTCTGGCACAAAAATCCAAAGACATTTGGCACAAATTAGTCGTTGCCTCTGAATCATCCCGGATCGTTGGAAGAGTCTTTTGATGGCGACATGAATCAGTTTATTCCTTGGCAACTTATCGAGTAAAACCTGGTCACTGAGGGTCAAACAACACGTGTTCACCGAGCCAACTTTTCACTAACGAGCTCCCTGATTACCACCGAATCTGGCGTAGCTGCTGATCGAGTGTGTGCGGTGACTCATCAGCACAGATAGAAAAGGCTTCTGGTAAATAACAACCAGTTACAAATACTCTGAGAATTTTAATCTTATACTTTTTAATTTGTTTTTTATGGTTCAACTTATTCTGGTGTTTGCAAGCAACTGCCTGGGGCCCTGAAGTGATAGCGGGGCCCTGAAGTGATAGCGGGGCCCTGAAGTGATAGCGGGGCCCCAAGAGCGGTCGATTATGTTCCACAGCAACAACGATGTTGTTAGAACTTTCTTAAATTGTGATCAGTTCTGTATGAAATTGAATTTAAGTTGAAAATGCACAAGTGCAGATGAAGCTGCGACGAACTGAGTCCAGACGTGACCATGACTGTTGTCTGCTTTATTAACGTGGGGGAGGGGTGTTGTGTTGTGAGTCCATTAGCTCTTAGTGGTAGTGTGTGTGTGTGTGTGTGTGTGTGTGTGTGTGTGTGTGT